ATAATAGTTATAGAAATGCTTAAATAAGTAAAGGTATCTAATATACAACTCCTCACACTGAAGACATCATATTATGCACCATCTTAGCATCATATTGTATAGCCCAAGGGTGAGTTTGGAGGCTGTGGCGACGGATGAGTAAAGTCAGAACGCTATGATGACACACCGCTGTAGGTTATTTTCCCCCAGCATGAAACAACACACCTTTTAATGCAGAATTAAAAGTAAGAGAATACCTGGGACACCCCCCTCTCACTGATAGGATTTCCCAGGTGGATAAATAAGTATTTGCCATGGGTGTCTGGTTTTTGGTTTGTTTTAAATGCATTGCCTGTTCTTTGTGCTTTTCTGTTGTTTTATTGTACGTCCCCTTGAGATGATTGTGTTGAAGGCAATTAAATAGCAACAACAACAATATCAAGCCTACATCTTTGATTCCCCCTTTCCCCTTGTCGTTAGGGACAAAAATATATGTCATGTCACCTAGAAACTAGAAATCTCAGATAAAACTGTGACAATAAATGGAAAAGTTAATGAGTTCCCCTTGCATGTCTATTTCTGCAGAAAAGTTCTACAAAAAAATTCACAATAGACATAGTTATTTTGGAACAACTATCATAGAGTTTAGGATAAGATACTGTATTTTCCTAGCCCGCTCTAAATGATTGCAGTTCACTAGACAACAGTTGCCTAATTTCATGCTTATAAGGAGTTTGTCTAGATAGACTTACACAGCTATTTAAGCTGCAATCTTATACCTGCTTGCCTGGGAGAATGCTCCATTGAAACCAGAGACACTTATTTCTGAGTAGATGTGCCCAGGCCTGTACTATTAGAGCTTGAAACATTTAGCAAGCCTTTGAAATTTGGCACACTTTTGCCCCTTTGCTACTCAACTTTTGCAAGCGAACCTTTACCTTTACTTCAAAAACGTGATGGGTTTTGTCTGATTTGTTGTTGCATCTCCTGAAAGTTTTGATTTTGCCAGCTGTCAGATATGAAATCTCTGAAGTGGCCAACTGTCAATTGTTATCAGTGTGTGTCAGCTTTCAAATAAAAATCATAAACATTATGACATGTCAAATCTCATAAAGCACTGTCCAGTAACAAAGTTTGGAATCAGATATAATTGGTCATCAAATGCAAATATATAATATTCAGAGTCAACATTTGCAGATGAGGTTTCTGTCATCACATCCAGGTCATGAGGTACGGTATGGTCTGAAGGCATGGGATGCAGAAACCTTGCTAAAGCTAGGGAGGTTTTGGTCTGGCAGGTACCTGAAGAAGTTTGTACCTATGGTCAATTCCGTGCTGGAAGGGAAAGCAGGATATAAATTTAACAACTTCCTCTATGCTCAGAATGTGAGTGCCATTTGTTGCCAAAATGGCACTGCTCATATACACAAGTGAGGTATCAAAAGGCTTGAACAGCAGCAGCCATGGGGTGGGAGAGCCGTAAAGGAGTGAACCCTTTAAAAAAGGAGTCCAAGAAAGACTGAACATGCTCAGTGACCACAGAGTGCTGATTGGAGAGAAAGAAAACTGGTGTGTGTGTGTGTGAGAGAGAGAGAGAGAGAGGGAATGGAATGGCTGGAATCCTGAACTGGGTGTACTCCACAATGAAATATTTTGTTGCAGTGTCTCCACCTGTAACTCGTTGTAGTTCTAACATTGTTGCAAATGAGTGTCACCTTATTTAGTGAGCAATCATAAGCAGCAACTTGGGGAGGCTTTCTGCGTGTGCGGTCAATGTGTGGCGAGCTTCAACTGGCTCGGAAACACTTGAGACACAACCCTGTCATGCTAAATGCCACCGGGATTTTCCCTTGGTCTTCATCTTTTTTGTCCTTGTGGCCTTCTTGCCATGTAATTTTTTTCTCCTTTTTGACCTCATCAACGATACAGAGAAGGTAGAGCACCCAGACCCGATCATGTTGTACTCCTTGTATAGGAGCATTACCCAACATTAATCTTAGTCTCCTTTTAAAAAAAAGCCTAGATAGATTTGAGGGAAGGTCACTGATCTGTCTGCATAAGGGACAAGTTTAAATGAATAAATAGCATTTTTAGTAAGTAATTCTTTGTACAAAATCAGTAAATTATGTCTGGATCATGGGTTAACAAGCAAAATCACTCATGATCAGCACTCTCCAAAGGGTTTGTGCCCTTGGGAGAATGTATAATTAAAAAAAAAAAAATCAAGCATTGTGGAGATGGTGATGATATTTTTATGGATTTCTTGCCCACCCTTCCATAAGGTCTCAGGATGGGTTGCAGCAATATAAACTATACTGAGTCCTGGCCAAAATATATTCTTATTCTGATGATTACTAAATTTATATACCACTCAGAAGCCATTCTGGAAAGGAGCCATTTACAAACATAAAACCAATTATAAAAAATATGTAGTCACAAATAATTACCGGTACACAAGAAAACAATTAAATTAATATTAAAATAAAGATTAAATAAAACATCCACAATCTATGAGAGTCACTATTGGACGGCTATATTGAAATCAGGAATATTTGATGGGTTGAAATGCATGAGGAGCCATGAGGGTTGCAGCAATGCAACCTAAGAGATCGGGTGGCACATACAACACATATAAATCACCTTTTCTTTACCAGTCTAGCTGAGTCCCAAGATAGAGAAACCCATGGGCTGGACTTGGCCACAAAGCTTCCCGGTCTCTTCAGATGCTAGCTGAATGCCAGCTGAAATGGAGGTGGACATGTCATTGCAAGCTCCACAAGCACTGGGGAAGACTGATAAGCATCAGAGGCTTCAATGCTGGTTGGTAGCTTCCAGAATGGTGAGATGGAGCCAAGAAGATATGTGGAGCCTCTGAGGAGGTACACTAGTTGGAAAGGTTTTATGGGCCAAATCTGGTCTGTGGGCTGCCAGTTAACTTCATATTCATTAAGGTTAATATGAAACTGGGGGGAACATATGGAGTGAGCCATATGCAGTGTGAGCTAGCCACAATTTATCACCATATCCCTCTTTTCCATGCAGTGCTGTAGCCACATAAACAATAGAAGCATTGCACTGGGCTAAGAGCTGGTTTTGCTTTCCTCAATGATAAACAAGGGAAAAAGCAGTCAATCTACTAAGGTCGTATACATTCCCATTAAACATTAAAAGCTGAGTTCTCTGGTTAGTGTTCCAATAAATTTAATGAGGAGCAACTAGTGTTTTCCCCCAAGCAGATTGGTGATTATCAGCTGAGCCTGACAGGTCGGCTAATGGACTAATAAAATTTATTCTGCTATGAAGAAGACCCTCAGTGGACAACAGCATATTTCTGTTTATAATCTATCTGTATGGATGATTTCAAGTACTTCCCTAAGTATGCTCTAAGCAATAGCGGGTCTGAAATAACATGCAATTCAGTTCATAAGTAGGTTCAGTCCTAAAAAAGTGATTTTTTAAGATCAAAATCCACAGAAGATTGTAGGAAGAAGTCATCCATATCTAAGAAATATTTAGATGCAATTAGCATACAATCCATAAAAGCGTGTTTCCTAACATGCTCTCTCAATAAGTGTTTGGTACATGCTTACAAACTACACATTGAGGCACACACTGAAACATATGGAAGCAGGTGCTATCCTACACGGCTGTGATCTGGCCCCCTTGCACAGTGATTGAGGTCCCAACCCCCCTGGAGGGACCAGAGAAGTGACCCCCATAAGTGGTGGATGTGGGTTTATGAAGGAGGTTTAATACTACTTGGTATCCAGGACTGCAGTCTTTTATCAGGCAGGGCTGTGCACTTTCTAAACAGCTGAAAGCTGAATTACAAGCAAGAAATTCAGCAGGTGATCTGCTTTTGCTGTTGGAATGTTGTACAGACCTATTTTGCCAGGACAGATCCCATTGATGAATTCTATTCATTTTTTAAAAAGCGTTTGATTTTTAGCAGCACCTAGAGATTACAACTAAGTCCAAAAACAAATAGCATCTTAAATTAGAATTTTAATTAATGTTGCAATCATAAACATACTAACTTGGACATAAAAGTTATTGAAATCAATGTAATATATTACAGTGCTTGCCAAATATGTTTTGTATCATAGCATTAATGTGAAATATAAATATGCTTCTCTTTGAGAAAGTTCAAATATACCCCTTCTTTGTTCCCCACCAAGTTTCTTTTCTGATTCCACCACTAGGAGGATCAAATGCATTTGAAGGCAGAGAGACCCAGAACCTCTCCGATGATTGGCAGGAGGTTGAGACTGTCAAGCAAGAAAGGCTATTGCAGTCAAGGTGGATTGGGATTTTATGAGTGTACTATAATTCTTAATTTGGCTGCTCACCAGTTCTTAGTCATTGTTCCTTCCTTATTCACAAGTACATATGGCGGTGATCAACTAATGATACAACACTGAAAGGGATACTGCACACGTTCATAATTTTTGCCCACTAAAATATATAAACATGCACCTGAAAAGTATGCAATAGCCTTTTTGTCCTCCTGACCATGTATATAAGAAGAGCTATGCTGGATCAGGCCAAAGGACCATCGAATCCCACATCCTGTTCTCATAGTGGTCAACCAGATACGTATGAGAAACCTGAAAGGAGGACCTGAGCATAACAGCGCTCTCCTTACTTGTGATTCCAATATTTGTCTAATCCTTCTTTAAAGCTATCCAACTTGGGAGCCATCATTACACCCTTTAGAAGCAAAATAAGCCCCCCACTTTTTTAAAAATAAAAAACCTTTTCCAGGGTCCCTTAAGGGAAGAAATAAATGGCCATAACATGTAGACACTGGTAGAAGGTAAGTTTTATCTCCTAGGAGATCAATGTTCCGTTATTATTTCTACTACAGCACATGGAGGAAGCAAGAAATACTGCAGTGATTAGGACAAATTGGGATTGATGTGAGTTGAAGTTAACAGTCATGAACTTGGCCTTGGGCTTGATTTTGCCTACTGCCAAATGCACTCTCCCGATCCAGTGAAGTATGTAAGCAAGAATTTCACTTTAGGAGCCAGAAGAGCTGCTGTCCGATAGATGCTCAGGATGCCAAAGTTCTGTTTTGCTGTTGGCACACAGGCAAAAGCATCAGGGTTAAGTGAGCATTCATTTCTGCAGCCGAAGATTGCTATATCTTTGGCCACAAATGCTCTTAAACTGCGAAGAATGTTAATTGCAACAAGCATTCCAATACAAAGGAATTCACTTCTGTTCCTGCAAAGAGCAGGACAGCCACTATGAGAATTATTAAGCTCAGCCACCTCACTGTAAATAAAATGGTTATGGACTGTGCCCTTTCATGCTCACAGATTATATCACTACCCACCCACCCTCCTCCTGAGCTGTGTCTTCTGGTTTCTGAGCAGCATTCGTTGTGACTCACTAGCAGGGACTAAGGGAATGAGCAGCCCTAGAGTTTGAAAGAACTCTGCATAGGCTACATAAAGGAGGAGGACACTTGTACTGGTTCTCGTAAGTCTAAACTTTGCTCTGTGTGGAACAAATGTTCAATCCAATACTCGTACTCCATGTGGTAGTCAATCAGGAACAGTGCCAGATCTTCCAGATTATTTCTTGTCGTCAGTCTCCTAAATACAAGGGACTTGCTTCAGGGCAGGAGGAGGGGACAAGAGGGGTGCTGGTACTCCAGGCCAAAGTAAGGTTGGCTATTACATACTTTAGAACAAGGGTAGCCAATGTAGTGCCTTCCAAATATTCCTGGACTGTAGGTCCCATCTATCCTGGCCATTGGTCCTGCTGGCTGGGGCAGATGGGAGCTGGAGTCCAGCAACATCTGGGGAGTACCCCTGGGGTTTGGGTGGAATTGATTTTATTGAAGACTTAAGTTGCGTTGTGGAGGAAATTGCTTAAAAGGATATGAATTTTCCAATGAATAAATAGAGCAGGGATGGGCAGCCTGTGACCTTTTAGAAGTTGTTGAGCTAAATCCCACCATCTCTAACCATTGGGCCCTGCTGGCTGGAGCAGATGGAGAGTCAAAGAACATTTGGGAGATGACAGGTTATCCATCCTGCTTGGGTGGTCCTCCTGGTGTATTATGAGCCAGTCAAGTTTGCATTAGAGGCATAGTTTCACTGCCACCACCTTCCTCCACCTCCCATTGTGTTTCAAGGCACCTGTCTCTTGAAATACCTTCCAAAGATTTCCAGGGCGTAGCTTGAATGATGAGGAAGGCAAGAGCATTTCCCTCAAATTTTTTTTGCATAGCATCTTAGACCTTTCCACTGAGGAGGAGGAAGTGTGTGTGTGTGTGTGTGCATGCACAGAGTTAGGTGCCAGGCTGCACTTCATGTGTGCATTTGGTTCAGATGTTAAAATGACTGCACTTAGGTATGGGGCAGAGCTTGATGCCATTTGGCCTATGCATGCATATTCTATTTCCTTGAACAACTGGAAAGGGCTCCTGTGCGATGGAAACAGGTCATATTCCTCCCTTGCTACATGGCTGTTGTCTCCACCACTGCTGAACCTCCTCAGGGTGGGAAGGGAGCCAACTTTAAAAACAAAACAAAATTATGAACATGTCTGGTGTTAGATGTTGAGGATGATGTCTGGAAGAAACGAAGAGCAGGGATATTACGGACAGAGGGAGGGGCAAAATTCTTAGCCAAGCGAGAAGACCAGTGAGCTATGTAGGGCACTGATGACTCAGTGTCAAATCACAAATACAATCAGTGGCATTGTAGCCATTTGAAAATGTAACTACATGGAGACTGACTGCTCCACCTGGCAAGCCATTTGTCTGAGAGTGCCCTGTATGGATAATGAACAATTGGGAGCATTTGGAGCTGCCATCTGGATGTCCCCATCTTTTTAGATTGATAAAGTAAGTTTGCTTCCATCCCTGATGCTAAAAGACCCAGGAAAAACAGTAGATGTGATATTAATAAATATAACAGCAATACATGTTACCATGGCTTTGCTGCATGGCCTCAGGCAAGCCAATTAACTGGCCTCTGCTGGGTTTCCCGCCTTCTATAATGCTAGCCTAATGATAAATTCCCTTCCTTGCAGGATTGTTGTGGGGCCCCACTTCATTAATATTTGCAAAGAGCTTAGGTGGAAGGTGGAGGAGAAAAGTAGATTCAACTTTCTTGCACAATAGCTTTAAGGCTCTATCTAGATAATATGAAAGTTCTGTCAGTGTCCTTAAGTGCAGGGATTTCTTAACCCAGATTGCCAGTGGTTGAGGATGGGGAGAATACAAATTGGAACATTAGTGAGGGGTTCAGAGGGCTTTAACCTTTTGTCCCCCCGCTCCAAATCTGGTCCCAATTGTGATTCCCTGCATGCTAGAAACTTCCATAGGGGAAAAAGCTCTCACTTAATTAAATGTGAGCCTGTTTTCCTTATGCAAATTACTGGCATGGCAGGTCACAATATAAAGCGTCCTGTACGCCTGTGCTAAAGTTCCATATCACCCATCCCAATTTGCGTAGAAAACCCCTCTCAGCTCTAAGTAACAGCACGTTGTTTCTAAAAAGTTTGAAAAATGTTAACATGATGCCACAGTATCCTCCTTGCTCAAAGCGGATCTGAAAAGGCATTCATTTCCCCCATCTCCACACAGACCCCATTTAGCCAGCACGTGTAGACACAAAGTCAGAAAAGCTAAAGCACAGAATGAACTCAGGCTTGCTAGAGAGGTTAAAAGCAACAAAAAAGGCTTTTATGGGTATGTTCGTAGCAAAAGGAAGAACAAAGAAACAGTGGGGTCACTCAGAGGAGAAGATGGTGAAATGCAAACAGGGGACACAGAAAGGGCTGAACTCCTCAATGCCTTCTTTGCCTCAGTCTTCTCCAATAAAGAAAACAATGCCTGACCTGAAGAATTTGGAGCAAATGATTCAGCAGAGGAAACACAGCCCAGAATAACTAAGGAGATAGTACAAGAAGACTTGGCTAGTCTAGATGTATTCAAGTCTCCAGGGCCAGATGAACTGCATCCAAGAGTATTAAAAGAACTGGCAGATGTGATCTCAGAACCACTGGCAGTCATCTTTGAGAATTCCTGGAGAACAGGCGAAGTCCCGGCAGACTGGAGGAGGGCAAATGTTGTCCCTATTTTCAAAAAGGGGAAAAGAGAGGACCCAAATAATTACCGCCCAGTCAGTCTGACATCAATACCAGGGAAGATTCTGGAGCAGATCATTAAGCAAACAGTCTGTGAGCACCTAGAAAGGAATGCTGTGATCACCAATAGTCAGCATGGATTTCTGAAAAATAAGTCATGTCAGACTAACCTGATCTCGTTTTTTGACAGAATTACAAGCCTGGTAGATGAAGGGAACGCAGTGGATGTAGCCTACCTTGATTTCAGCAAGGCATTTGACAAGGTGCCCCATGATATTCTTGTAAAGAAGCTGGTAAAATGCGGTCTTGACTATGCTACCACTCAGTGGATTTGTAACTGGCTGACTGACCGAACCCAAAGGGTGCTCATCAATGGTTCCTCTTCATCCTGGAGAAGAGTGACTAGTGGGGTGCCACAGGGTTCTGTCTTGGGCCCGGTCTTATTCAACATCTTTATCAACGACTTGGATGATGGACTCAAGGGCATCCTGATCAAATTTGCAGATGACACCAAACTGGGAGGGGTGGCTAACACCCCAGAGGACAGGATCACACTTCAAAACGACCTTGACAGATTAGAGAACTGGGCCAAAACAAACAAGATGAATTTTAACAGGGAGAAATGTAAAGTATTGCACTTGGGCAAAAAAAAATGAGAGGCACAAATACAAGATGGGTGACACCTGGCTTGAAAGCAGTACATGTGAAAAGGATCTAGGAGTCTTGGTTGACCACAAACTTGACATGAGCCAACAGTGTGACGCGGCAGCTAAAAATGCCAATGCAATTCTGGGCCTCATCAATAGGAGTATAGCATCTAGATCAAGGGAAGTAATAGTGCCACTGTATTCTGCTCTGGTCAGACCTCACCTGGAGTACTGTGTCCAGTTCTGGGCACCACAGTTCAAGAAGGACACTGACAAACTGGAACGTGTCCAGAGGAGGGCAACCAAAATGGAAACGATGCCGTATGAGGAACGGCTAAGGGAGCTGGGCATGTTTAGCCTGGAGAAGAGGAGGTTAAGGGGTGATATGATAGCCATGTTCAAATATATAAAAGGATGTCACATAGAGGAGGGAGAAAGGTTGTTTTCTGCTGCTCCAGAGAAGCGGACACGGAGCAATGGATCCAAACTACAAGAAAGAAGATTCCACCTAAACATTAGGAAGAACTTCCTGACAGTAAGAGCTGTTCGACAGTGGAATTTGCTGCCAAGGAGTGTGGTGGAGTCTCCTTCTTTGGAGGTCTTTAAGCAGAGGCTTGACAACCATATGTCAGGAGTGCTCTGATGGTGTTTCCTGCTTGGCAGGGGGTTGGACTCGATGGCCCTTGTGGTCTCTTCCAACTCTATGATTCTATGATTCAGACAAAAGGAAGAGATTGGCTGTTAACAGTTTGGTTAGATTTATCATATTGTTTGCCCCCCTCCACCCAACATAGCTCCATTTCTTGGACAGGTTTACGACTGATTTAAACATCCCTGTACTTCAATGAGCAACCCTTTCCAGGTGACATTTAAATATAGAACGAACACACATAGGTCGGGGCAGGAACCACAACTGTGACCACATTCCCGCCAGATATGCGTTTATTCTACCTCCAGAGGTAATCTCATCACTTGATAACATAGGTGAACATAGTGCTTCCTTTGAAAAGTGCTATGTTTGAGATGATGTCAGGAGATACAAAATCCTTGCCTGTCGTATTTCATCTGTGGATGTTCTAACAGTATCGGCTTGGGTTCCATAAAAAAAAAAAGCAGAGGCCTTCACACATCATTTATGTGAAAGGTATTCCATTACTACGATCAAGGAGCAGAAAGGCTGCACTTCTGGTCTCGCCCACAAGGACCTATATAGCACCCCTCAAACCACCCCTGATGCTCAGAGGTATTTGCAAAGGGAAAAACTGTGTACATAGACCTCTGCACACATAGAATTCCCTGGGAGCTGGAACCTCAATCGCACAGTTTTACAGTTGCTAGGAAAGCCAACACACAGGGGTGTGCATTAGGGGTGTGCAAGAGTTATTTTGGAGTCCATTTGTCTTCCAGAAAAGATCGAGGTTCAGTCCAAAGTATTTTGGATGCTGTCCAGTTCTGCTACGAGTTTGAATATAA